GGGCCTGTTCCTCCTCAGTCTCTTACCCTTCCGAGACCTTCCTCCCCCACCCAGCGCGCCGCTGTGGTCTGGGGCGCTCCGGCAGTGCCCACTCTCATCTCCTGAGCACATGTTCTCCAGGTGACCTCCTCCAGCCCACCTGTCCCTGTTCGGCTGCACATCCCAGGAGACCACCCACACTGTCCCTGCTGACTCTATCCTCTCCCCGCTGAACCCCACGCATCCCCCGCTGAATCCCACCCCATCCCCCTGCTCCGTTCCCATGGACCCTCACCCTGTCCCCACTGCCCTCTGCCCCCTTCCCACAGATCCCTCCACCCTGTCCCCACCAATTCCCCACCCCCTCCCTGATCCTCCACCCCAACTCCGCTGATTCCCTCCCCAACCTCCACTGCTCAACTCAACCCTGGGCACCCAGCTTCTCTCCCCTCCATTTCCTATCTGTGGGCAAGTTCAGGGGTCTCAGAGCACCCTAGGAGTCGACCAACTGCCCCCACCCCACACTCCAGCTTCTCCACTTGTCCAGAGAGGCCACCGAGGATGAAGTCAGATGCCTCATCTAGCCACCTCCAATCCCCTCAAAAACAGCACATAGGTCCTGCCTGGTGGGGACTCACTGGTCTGCCATCCCTCAAATGCCCCCAACAGTGACATCTCCTGTGGCTTCCCGAGGACCCCTTCCCAATGCTTTCTCTCCAGGATGCTCCCTAGCTGACCTTCAGATCTGCTGAAATCATCATAGTTCAAGCTGAGCTGCCCTGTCCCCAGGACTGAGTGCGTCCCCCAGAGGTGAGGTTATTGGGCTCCTGCTGCTCCCTGCCCATATGCACACACAGGGCAGGACTGTCCTGTCCACTGTGGCTCCTGGCCACCCCAGGCCAGCTGGTGGCAGGAGCTCAGCCAGCACCTGTAATAACAAGACATATCAGGAGGGGGGCACGGACACGGGAGCCACTGAACACAGCCATATCTTCATCTTCAAAGCACATTGGCCAGGAGAGATGACCTAGCGTGATTATATTCTTTAAAAAGTAGACTACTGCATTCCAGAGCATCAGCAAGCACAACACTGCTCTGCACCTCTGGCTGGAACAGGCCCTGCAGCCATGTTCGGGCCTGCCAGTGAGATATGGGATGGACATACGCCTGCTGTGCACCCACAGACATCCGGGCCACAGGCACACATGTGACAGGCAACCCAGTGTACCACTCCTGGAAGTCTCCTAGGTGCTTCCTGCATTGGTGTTGGAGGCAGGGCGTTGCTGGCAACCTGGAAGCCATTGCTAATGAGTGGCCACCACCCTACAGAGCTGGCAGTGATAGAGAGAGAGAAACAAGACACCGACAAGGGCTGGGAGCAGTGGCATTTTGGGAGGTCGAGGCAGGAGGATGGCTTGAGGCCAGTAGTTCAAGACCAGCCTGAGTAATGTAGTGAGACCCTGTCTCAATTAAAAAAAAAAAAAATAACTAACCAGGCGTGGTGGTGCACACCTGTGGACCCAGCCACTTAGGAGGATGGGCCAGGAGGAAGAATTACTTGAGCCCAGGAGTTCGAGGCTGCAGTGAGCCATGATTTCACCACTGTACTCTAGCTTGGGTGAGAGAGTGAAACTCCGTCTTTAAAAAAAAAAGAAGAAAAAATAGAGAAGTCTGCAGCCCAGTGCCATTCATGAGACTCGCACACCACCATCCCCACCCTGTAAGAAACATCCATTTTCAAGACCACATACCAGACATATCCAAGTGGCCCTATTTGGAGTAGGTAGTGGGTAATTATGTGAGAACCAGAAACAGGGAAGAAGAAAAATAAACCAACCAACAAGGGCCTGGCTGGAGACACAGCTTGGACAGATAATAATTATGTGCCATGAACTGAGCAATATGTGTGCATTCAAGGCCCAAATCCCGAAAGAAAATCAAATCTTTGCTTTTCCCTTTGGCTGGAAGGATCGGGCATGGAGGAGACTTAAGCGTCTAAGCCTGCGCTGTGGCTATTTTTAAGACTCCCCACTGCATTTCCTAGACGAAACAATGTAAAATGAAAAAACACATGTTGGCCGTTTAGATCATGGTAAACGGTTTTTCCATAGTTGTGGAAAAGCAAGTCAGTCTCATTTTCCTAGAGAAAAAAACCAATGGCTGGGGAGATGAGAAGTGAAGTCTGACTAACAGTGAGGGGATTGTGATCTCTGATTACAGTGGAGAGAACCGGGTTACTCACCCTGGTCTTGTGCCAGGGCCAGCCACCATCTGCTGAGATCCTCAGGGTGTGGAGATGACTGGGTGCGTTCTCAGCACACACATCTACCAGCACACACAACGGGCTTCGGAGAGAACCGAGAGCACAAGGCAGCCTTCCAGCACCCCGTGTGTAGGACACTCCACCCAGGCTGCCTGCAACTACAGGTCCCCCAGCCCTAGTCTGTGGACACCACTCGATGGCTGGGTCCCTCGACCCTGAGCCCAGGCTGGAGTGCCAGCATGGCCTGTCCAGTACCGCCACAGAGACCTCCATTCTGCGGTCGCCTCGGCCTCTGGGTCTCTTTTTCTCCATAGACCTCCTGGCACATTCCCACTAAACAGGGCCGCCTGGCTGCTTCAGTGTCCCTGCCCGGAGCCTACATGGTCATGTCACAGGCTTCCTGGACAGCACATGTCCCATTACCCACTGCACGGCCGAGAGGGCATTCAGCCGCGTGGTAACCCTTGTGCCTGCTTCCTTGGCCTGCTCTCCGGCATTCCATCTCCCCGTCCACAGCATCCTGTCGCGTGTCCACAAGTCCATGTCTCACTCAGGGCAGACTCACACTCACCTAAAGCCACAAAAGGCAGCTTTCTCCTTAAGACAAGTTCTAGTGCCAGCAGTGAAAAGTTTCTCTCCCTTGTCACAGGTCTGAAGTATTACGAAGATCTGGGCAGAAGGGTTCACTCCGAGGTCAGGGTGGAGACAGGTCTGGATGTCAGGTGGGATTTGCTATAGCCATGTGCCCAGAATGACTGTGTTCTTCCCTAGGAAGAGATCAGATAAACACATTTGTGCATTTCAACCACCATCTTCAGAAGCAGTAATCACTAAACCTTATGTCTATTAATTTCTGGCCAATCAATTGTAATCATTTTTTACTTAAGAACTTCTGATGTTGCCTAAAGTTGCAGTATCCACTAAGTATACTGCCACCATTTGTGAATGTACCTTCTGTGACTAAAGCGCATGGGAGGGGCCGCGACATCCATGTGTGACATTAGGCAGCGAGACCTCAGGGCCTTGGATTGTGGCCTCGAGGTATTTGACCCAGACCAACCAATGGTAAACCGCTGAGTGTAATCGGACCTCTTGGCCTCAATTTCCCCATTTGTGCAAAGGGGAACATTGCTTGCCTATGTAATGCCAAAGCTGGATTCGGACGAAACAAAACATGAGAAGCATTTGGACTTTAAGCTAACAATGAAGTTAACAGCACACCAGCAGGAATGGCCCCCACATCATAATGCATGTAGCTCTCACTGGCCAACTGTCCCCAACAGTCAGTCCCATGTTCACACTTGAGACCTAACTGAATCAGACCTGCCCAGGCATGGAATCCCAGGGGAACTCAGAGTGCCCTGGGAGTCGACCAGCCACCACCACTCCCCATTCCAGCCCTCCACCTGTCCCAACAGAGTGGCCGCTGAGGATGAAGTCAGATGCCTCATCCAGCTGCCTTGCATCCCCTCTATGCAAAACCACACAATGGTCCTGCCCAGTAGACCCGCTCACCCGCTGTCCCTTACATCCCCCTGCAATCCCTTACATCCCCCCGCCTCCCACAGGTGTTGTGACCTCCAACAGCCCTCCGAAGAGCCCTCTCTCCAGGATGCTCCCTGGCTGACCTCTGGTGTGAGACACACCGAAATCTGAAGGCTTCCTATGAGGAAGAATGTAGACTGTCTCGGGATTTTAAACGAGTTGCACATGGAAGGACACTGTTTAGGAAGGATTAGGCAAATGAAAGGTATCGCAGTGTTTCGCCTGCTTCCTTCCCTCTTTTCATGTGGTTACTGTAGAACTGAATGTTTCGCGAATGGCTAGAGCCACGTCTTGGTGGACCGGGGCTGTCCTGGATGCTCCTGTGTCATAGATGTGGACACGGGCTCAGGAGAGTGCATGATGGTGGGACAGAGGCGGCGGAGGCTGTCTCCCGTCCCAGGGCTTTTAAGGCAGCCTGTTCTTGTCGCTGACCTGGCCCCAGGCTTACTCCTGCAGCAGTTGCTGGCAAGCATTAACTGTGATGAGGATCAGTGATGGGGAAGATCAGCGATGAGAAAAGGCCTGGTGTCTACTGTCTTGAGGGGGAAGAGGCTGTGGCACGTGACATGATCACGGAGACGAGTCTTGTCACTTGGCGGTAGGGACACTCCAAGGATTCCTCCCCTGACCAGACCTGGCTCCTCTGAGCCGCAGGGCCCAGTTTTAGCAAGAGCCCTGCTTAGTCAATGTGGCAAGGGTTCCTCTCACCCGCGTGGACAATGATCAAGATCTCATCCTCCATGTCTCGGGGTGACAGTGGGTCCCCCCGCCTGCCTTCAGCAAAAACCCAAGTCAGTTTGGCCTCGATGCGTCCTTGGTCATTTTCCATCCCCCGACCCCTCCCCCGCTCCCTAGTTACAATCTATCCCCTTGTGCACAAAGGTGAGCGCAGCTCTGTCCTGAGGTCTTTCCCCATCTTACAAAGTTCCTGAATAGATCTGCTTTTGCACATTAAGGGCTCTGGCTCTGACCATGTCCTTTGGGGGCCCACTGAGGTGGGATAGCCAGAGGCCCTGAGAGGAAGAAACATTCAGTGCCGCTCATGGCCAGGGCCACAGAGACCCTCAGAACTTAGTGCTGAGCAAATCTCCTCCCTGAAGGTTGCGCACCTGCCCCTGTCCTGGGAATGTGGCTGGAGCCAAGGCCAGCAGAACTTCCTCCCGAGGAAGCGGCCCACATGGTCCTCATGTTCTCTCCCTTCATCTTTATTTTGTTTATAATTTCTTTTCTTCCTATGGGAGGTAAGAATTCTTGAGAACGAGCTGATCCAACAGTCTTTAAGAGCTGCCTCCTGTCTGTTGGGCAATTCTCCATCCTACTCCAAATCAGTGATGCGACCTGAACTAAGTAACAGACATTGTCCATCACAGGCAGGAGGCACTGACGAGCATTGGTCCACGAGACTGTGAGGGCTCTGGACGGTGTCCGCACTTGTGGCAGTCGTTCTCAAGTGGTCAGAAAATGGCAGTTTCAGTACCAGGGCCACACCCATAGCCCACAACTCATCCATGCTTCACCTGCTCAGAGAATAGTATGCTCTACTCGTCTCAGGCTGTTTCTATGTCTTGGGGCCTATTTCCAAGGACAAATACTGGAGGCGGCGAGTGGGCCATTTTAAAGCTCCACAACTATCCTTGTGTTTCCAGGTCTCACTCTCCCTTTTTGGCTAGATTAATGTTTTTCTGTCATTTAAAAAATTTCCAAGCTGACGTTGGAAGCACTGTCCCCAATTAAACATCATTCACTTTGCCATGTAGTCTCTATAAAAGGATAGAACACAAACTTTTTAAGAGCAGAAAAAGATTAGGTCTAACCCATTGAGCAGGACATCATTCTCTGTTTGAAAGCCAAGGTTATCAAATTCTAGTTCAAAAGGAAAGTTGTTTCCACCGCTGTCTTTCCTCCTCTGCTCTTTCCATTTGCACCCTCCAGGCTCCCCAGGACTCTTGCAGAAGCCTCCTCATGGCGCCCACCCATCTCTCCCCTTCCAAAGCCAGTGACCCTCTTGTCAAATGGTGGCTCCACACACCCCCTCAAGACCTGGCAGGGCCTTTCCAAGGCACAAACAGGGTCTTGGGAAATGCCCCCTTCACTGCCTGTGGCTCCAGGTGGCCCTTGGCTCTCTGCAGCCCCACTGCCTGCTGGCCCTGGACCCAGCTGCTTTTGGTGCTGCCGCCAGCCTGGAACAGCCTGCCAGCTCCACAGTATTAAACGGTTCCTTCCACTATGCACTTGCCCTTCACCCTCTCCATACAGTTGATGATTACTGACTGTACCCCTATGAGTCAAGCATGTTTCTGCTTCTTAGAACCATACTCCTGAGGGCAGGGCCGGCCTGCTCTGGGACACCAGGGAACCACAATGAGGTGTCCCCCGATGCAGTGTAGGAACCTGTGTCTGTTGGATAAATTACACAAGAAATTGCCTTCTGTTCCCAAACGGAAATCTAATATGTATCTTTTGGGGCTACATGACTTTTTGGAATAAACTGGATGAGATACTGGAGTAAGAAAAACTTTTGCATCTGTTTTTCTTTCTGCAAGTTACTTGACTTTCTGAATTTTGCTTTTACAGTTTTCATTACTAAACCTAACAAAATCCTTGAAAACTGTTTTCCATGCAATAAAGCAAAAAGAAATTGCATCTAATGGCATGCACCAGAAAATCAGAAAATTAGCGAGTGCTCTGTTGGCCCACAAGATGGAAGACCACTGCTAGCCAAAGTCATTGTTTCCATGAATAGCAACAGAACACAGGCCCTGAGATAAACAGGACAAGATCAACACTCAAAGTGTCTAAGTTTTTGTCTTCACAGACCTTAAAGTACCTTTTTAGGCATTAAAATACAGTAAAAGCAAATACTATCTTTCCAGTACTTAAATGCCTGGTTCTAACAAAAGGTCTCCACAAGTGTCTTCAACCCTAAGACACTTCCTCCTCCAGGAAGCCCTTCTTGCATCCTCCTTTTCACAATACACTGTTGTAGGCTAGTCACCCTGCTGGGTGACACACAGCTCTCAAAGCCCATGCCTGCTGTATGCCTGAAACTGCCTGGTTTAGCCCCTCCACTCCCCATGGAGCCCTTGGGTTCTCTGGCCCTGCCTATCCCAGTCCTTTTGCTCATGGGCCACAGAGCAGGCACCCTAGAAACAGGAAGGACAGGAAGAAGCCTGACTCAGAGGCAGTGCAGAGGCTCGTCCAGTGCGGGCCTGCAGGTCCTGCCTGCACACCTGGCCCTACTGCACTCTACCTGTGCACTATACAAAACATATCCCTTTACATGAGCTAGCCTGAGTGGGTTCTTGCACTCAAACATGTCTCACCAGGACACCTTATTTTTCTACAAGTTACTTGTTACTGGGTATATTTAGGAATTTCAGATGCCAGGATGGGCACAGCATAACTGAGAAATGGTCCAATGACCACGTGGGTTTGCTGTGGTCAATGCTGCAGTCAGGAAGACCTGGGCAGCTGAGCCACATAGGAGACCACTGTGAATGTTACCTATTGAGCTGATCAGCGAAAGAACACTTGCTCACAAATTAAAACACTGCCTGACACAGAAATGATACTCAGTAAATGTTTAATGAATGAGTGGACAGATGGAAAGACAGGGCAGAGGAAGGCTGATGTTACAAATATAAACTTTGTCAGCACTTTCAAAATAATAGCAAATACACTTAAATACATACAAAGTTTATTAAAAATAGGTTGCAACTGAAATACAGTAGAAATGGAAAACTACAGCAGTTCTGATGCTTCTTCCATATAATGCAGTTATGAAAAGCACTTTTACACATATTCACATTTGCCCTACTTGTCCAAAGGTGGCCAAATCCACTTGTTTATGGGTTTTATAACCATACATACAAATATCCCTGTATGTAGATATGTACATGTGTTCGCTTGTACTTACATGTATTTGTCTTTTTTATATATTAAAAGAAAAGGAATTCATATGCATCTCTTTTCTTTCAACAAAGTGTGGATTGAGTCACCATAAGGCTGCCAGTGTTCTCAAGATACTTGGGAGGAGCTTGCTTCTCCTAGAGGTTCTGGAGCAAGCATGCAAATCCTTCATACACACACAGACCATTTCACTCTCTTACTTAAACAAGGGAAACAGTAAAAGCACACTTTCAAATAAGAACCCTGATAGAAATAAAAAATATTTACACTCGCATTTTTAATGATTTATCATACAACTCTTATTAAAACTGATGTCTAAGGCAGTGAAAGCCTCTATTCTTCTCTTTGGAAGTGTGCATGTTTTCCTAACATGTATATTTGTAAGAGAATAATATGGTACAGAAAATCATCCAGACCCCATCTTAGAGCTTTGTCAAATAGAAAATTTGCTTGTAATCACAAAGAAATTTATCATCTTAACAGCACACAATATAAAACACACTGAGGTCCGACTCCCCAACATCAGCCATGTAGCCATAGCTGAAGAAATAACAGTGGTAACTAATAATTCAACAAATTAAAATTAAATAACTCCATTATACTATAAAAAATAGCTTGAACTGCCATGAGTTATTCTTATAATATTTAAATTACAGATGTCATATGTAATTGAATTACTTCCTTTTCCCGACAGCATATCGATGCAAATCTATTTCTTTTTCAAATTAAAATTTCGGAGTGACAGTTGTGTTTTGAGTGTCACTTGTTAACCTTCCATTTTTCTCAGAGATTTTTATTTCTGGTCACATGAACACTGTTCAGCTAAAGATGTCCTCTTATACAGATCTCTTGGAAATATTAGTCGACTTTCTAACACAACTGTCATCTTCAAATTCACCAATGATTTATGAAGTCTAACAATAACAATAGTTTGGTATTTATAAAAATAAAATCCCCTAACCTTAAATTCCCCAAAATTTCTTCTTTCACAATTTTTAAAGTCAGTTATTTTGAATTGATCAGAAGGGCTTAGACTTGCAAGGAGTGAGATGGAGCAGTCTTGGTCTTGGATGCGTGTCACCTCACAGAAAGCTTCAGTCTAAACTGTGCCATGACGCAGACTAGAGAAGGTGTCGCAGAAATCACTTGATCAGGTGACATTGAGGAGCATGTCTTCACCTGTCCTCTCTTCTGTAAAATATTGTGGGCTATACTAAATAGTGCAAACAACAGTCTGGGTAGTTCAAGCTATTCTCTGTTTGATAGCGAAAATAAAGTTGCTGAAAAACCAAGAACAAGAACTTCTCTGTCTGTGCTCCTTGGCCGGTTGCAAGGAGAAGCTGGGAGGAGACATATCTCGTTCTTCCTCCCACCCTTCATCCTGTCCCCTTGGAACTTAAGACTCCAAAGAGAAACCATCAAAAAAGTTGTCTTCATATGATCCAGATAAGAAATTAGACAGTGTTTAAATTACATAAATGACAATCTCTTGGTAAAGTAAAATAAAATTTCTTCAACTTGAGACATCTCTAAATCCCAAACATTTTAGAAATAGAAATTATAAATCATTTAGAAATATAATCTCCCCCTTTCCTCTTCAAAGTCACACCTACAAACCCCCAAGCGAGAGGGTTTTTTGATAAGTACAAGGTTCCCTTTTCATTTTGTGTTCAGTTCGTTTTCCAGTTCTGTTAATTTACGAGAAGCTTTTACTTTATTGGACACATCTTGACCTTGTGAGAAAAGACGCTGGCGTTCTCTGAATGTCAAGCTTTCAGGGGCTCCAGAACTTCCAGGTAAATCTGCATCTTGGCTGCGTTAAGAGGGAAATACAAATGATTATTGGTCAAAATAGAAATAACCTGTCAACAACTAGGTAAGTTTGCATAATGGACAATTAATTAAAACTTTCAGTCTCATTCTTTATTAAATTTTGCTATAACTTTTCCTATAATTAAAATTCTAGGGGCTGTATTTAAAGCCATATAGAAAAAAAGGGCAAAATATTCTCCTTACTAAAACATTTATTTCCCCTAGTCATATCCAACTCAAAAAACTAATAAGTTAAATTTTGGCAAGCAGGAAATCCTTACCAGTTAAACAAGTTTAACTGAAGGATGTGTCCAGTTTTAAAACACAACATTTTAATGAGTCTTACATGTACCTGAGAGGCATCTATAAATATCCCTAATTTAATAAATTATAGAACAGAACTGAAAATTCTTGATTAGCTCAACTTTTCTTTCTTTCTTTCTTTTTTTTGGAGGGGGGTGGTGGGTCTTGCTCTGTCACCCAGGCTGGAGTGCAGTGGCACAATCATGGCTCACCGCAGCCTCAAACTCCTGGGTTCAAGGGATCCTCCTGAGTAACAGGGACGACAGCCTCCCGAGTAACTGGGACTACAGGTGCATGCCACTATGCCTAGTTAGTTTATTTACTTTTTTTGTAGAGACACGGCTCTACTGTACTGCCCAGGCTAACTTAACTGTTTTAAGAACAGTTAGGCAACAGCATTTCTGTCTAAAATCCAGGTGAGGACATTCAGTGAAGACATGGAGCCTATTTATTTTGGAGCCTATTTATTTTTTGTGTACCATCAGGAAGACCTCTGGACGTTGTTTTAAAATTTTCAACCTTCTCTGGTAGAAAGACCAGCATGGCCTACTGTTTCTAATGTTCTGACTAGTTTGGTACCTGTGTCACTGGCTGAAACAAAACTATACTAGCAACACAGAATTTAAAAAGCCTACATGCGCATGTGATTTTTGTACCATGGGAAATACCGGAGCTGATAACAGTCTCTGAAATTTCAATCCAGCTTTATGTAATTTTAAAATATCACGAGGGACAAAGAGTCACCAATGAGAGATGAAGCTACTTGTCTAGCACAGTCGTCAGTACCTTTTAGAGCGCTTCTCTCCTGTGTCCCGATATGTGTCATGGGCTCCAACACCTGTTATAGTAGATCCCGTGTATGAGTTCGGTCCTTTTCCATAAAAGAAACAGCACAAATCAGAGTACTTGAATTATTTCCAGGACTTTGTTCACAATAAAGATGCAGTGCACGTAGAAAAATAAGATGTCTTTAATTACTGAGTAAACAAGAAGGCAACGACTCCTCGTATTATATAAAATAATTTGAAATTCACATCTGTTAGTGGCCTGAGTAATCCAATCACTACCCTCGAAAGGTGGTAAAAGAATGATCTTATGCCCTTTAGTACGAGGAAAACTGTATATATCCAAAAAGTTCAAATCAGAAAAAATACATTATTATGATGAATTGAAAAGACAAACCCACAGAAGGCTTACTTAAGTGAAGAGATCAGCACAACTTTTCAGACACACCTGTTCTTACAAAATCACTGGGAGCAAACATGACCCAAAGATTAAGAAGTAATCCCATGATATTTCCCTTTTCAGGATTAACAACTGAATTTATGTTTCAGGATAAATGGCCAGTAATTATTAAAAAATAAATTAAGTTTTTAAAACAATCTACCAATAACCCCCTTGTATTTGTTATTACTGGTATAGATACAAAGTCACTGATAATAAAAACAATATTCAAAGCAGCATGGTGTGAGGGGCAGCTGGGCAGGCCCTGCCACAGCATGGCTCTGCCTGGCTGGCCACGGAACTGTAGGTGAGTGTGGTATCAGCCACTCAACAACAACACTTGCCCTGTGGCCTCAATGGGTTGATGAAGATCAAGAGATGATGCAGGTTAAAAGTCTTAAATGTATCCAATGAATAACAAATGTCATTAAAAATAATTATTAAAATCATAATGCATTTAAATTAGTATCAGTGTATTTCTATTAACTGTAACATTAGCAAGAAAAATAAATTCACACTTGAAAAGTCTTCTGCCTATAATAATATAGGCTGGAGTAATAAATGCTCAAACTACTAAGAAAACACTGACAACATTGATTATTGGGTTAAATAGGCCACAAAATTAGTACAATATTTTCACATTAAAATTCTTTCTCAGACAAGTCGCATGAAAGTAAACCTTTGTTTCTCTTCTATACAAAAGGCCCTGCTGTGCAGCCAGAACTTCTTTGACACACTGTAGACAGCACAGCTGCCTTGGGAATGATACCTCTTTGCACTGCACCTTTACTTATGAGATTAGGCTTCCTACAATCATGGTGTAGGACGTCATCCTCAGCAAAGACTCAAAAGACCAAACAGAACACATCTTAAGGCCATCCACAGTGGTTCTTTAGGTAAATTATGGCATAGTGAGATTTTTTTTCCATTTTAATTCCAAACTTTTTCTTTTGCTTTATTTTTTAAAACATTGGGTTATATCTTTTGAGCTTTGTTGTAAGAATGATATTGGCTTTTTCCACTGGTAAAAAGTAATTATTCAGAACTGTCAGAACTTTTAGAGTTAAGTAGAATATCAAATACTTTCAGATAATGATATATGAAAACTATAAATTCCAACTATAATTTTCAAAGAGCTTTAATAATGAATCTTTCATATATTGCTATGTTGAAATCTGATGTTACTCATCCCAATTCACATCCTAATTCTATTCCTCATCCTACCCAGTGGAAGAAACCAGGTCCTGTCTGCAGAAGCACGTTTTACCAAAGTACTCCCGACAGAGACAAGAGTTGAACACAGGAACGTGACAATGCTAGTGAGATGAACAGGTGACAGGTGAGAACGCGTTCTGCACGTGGTGCAGACAGCTCTCTACTTAACAAAGAAGTCTTCAAAGAGGCTGAGCACTCAGATGCATGATATAACCTGCTCCTATGTGGTACTTCAGTGTGAAATAAAATGAGGATTAGTGGTGTGCCTGAAAGCCAATATGGTTATAAGTGACACCTAACTGTACTATTCAGCTACCAACCTTATATTTGTGTCTTATATAAGTTTAGCTGATATAATTGGATACAAGGAGGGTGATGGCATCTTGCTTTAAAATGTACTATTATTCCTTGATGTCTTTAAAAAGTTACCAAATTCTAGATATTTACAACAGATAATTTATAAATATTTAATTTTGGCTTCCAAAGTGACTCAACATAAACTTTATATATAAGCTTTCAAAGTGGATCAAAGCTCTGACAAATGTGAGAAAAAAAGATAGAATTCTGGCAAAATTCATTTGTTATGTAAAGGTCACATTACACTGAGTCTTAAAGTAGTTAACCTTTCAGAATTGTTGAGTTCCACACATTGTTTATGCAGAATGACACTTATTTAGAAGACTCTTATATTCTCATTCAAAGTAACACTCCTGGTCAGGCTCGGTGGCTCAGTCTGTAATCCCAGCACTTTGGGAGGCTGAGGCAAGTGGATTGCCTGAGCCTGTGGGTTCCAGACCCACACAGGCAACTTGGCAAGACCTTGGCTCTACAGTAAAACCAAAAATTAGCCAGGCATGGTAGTATGTGCCTGTAGTTCTCGCTACTAGGAAGGCTGAGGAGGAAGGATCACTGGAGCCCAGCGGGTCGAAGCATGCCACTGCTCTCTAGTCTGGGCGACAGAGTGGGACTCCGACTCAAAAAAAAAAAAAATGGAACACTCCTAGACTGGGCATGGTGGCTCACGCCTGTATCCTTGCACTTTGGGAAGCTGAGGGAGGAGGATCACCTGAGCCCAGGAGATTGAGACCAGCCAAGGCAACATAGCGAGACCTCATCTCTATCAAAAAAAAAAAAAAAATTAGCCAGGTGCTGTGGCACATGCTTGTAGTTCCAGGTACCTGGGAAGATCCCTTGAGGAGGCTGAGGCTGCGGTGAGCCTTGATTGTACCACTACACTCCATCTTGGAGGATAGAGTGAGACTTTGACTCACAGGAAAAAAAAAAAAAAAGGTAACACACCTGTATTTGAGGATACTTAGTGCCAGAACCCCAACTTCATTTATGGTAAGGCTAGGGTGAAATTTGAACCCTTTCAATTAATTATATTTGAATCATAATGTTCAATGCTGTCTCAAAAACTGACTATCACACTCTGCAATCAACCTACAGGGCTTTAACTAATGGCAACTGTACACCTACTAAGGTCCGGCTGCTGGTAGTGAGAGATGCTGAAAATGCAGGTTACAGGAAAGAATGAAAACAGTTAGAGGAAGAGGGAACAAGAGGAATTTCTCTGCGCCTAGGATCTCTAGGCCCTGGTGTGAGGCAGCCGACATTGAGGTCATAAAGTGAAACAGTTAACCAGTTTAGCAGATACTCCACTATGCTAACCAAATCTCCATGAGCAAGAGTGACTCATCTTAGAAGTGAATCCAGAACAAAAAGTTCTATTCACGTTAAATAATGGAAACTTGAAATGTAACTATAACACTTTATCTTTTGAGACACTACAAGGTGAGAAAAGGCACTTGTTCAATCAAATGTAAGACCATTTGAGGAGGTAGAGCATGAAAGCCAAGACCAACAGTACTTCAAGTGATTGGGGAGCAGAGAAGGACGGATTGTTGTCAGCTGATCAAAGAAATGGATCTTTTTAAAGCATGAAAGAAACTGAAGTCCTAAGACATCTACCAAAAAAGAGTATTAGCACAGATGTAACAATCAGAGGTTGAAGGGATCACCATGCTGAGATGAGCAATCAAGTGAAATCCAAATTCCAAAGCAAGTATGATTGCCATGGATCACACAGGGCAAGTGTGCAGAGATTCCAAGGTTCCAATCATGAAGACAAGAGAGAGCTGATTTGTCGCTCTATCTTTTACCTCTGCCTTTGCAGTGGCTGGGATGGTAGAAGCTGGGTTTTTTTGGAGGGGGCGGGGGCTGGCCTTTTTGGTGAGTAGTACTGTTGGCTTTGGCTGAGGGTGGCTGGAATGAGTTGGAGAGAAAGATGCCATCGGAGGCCGGGCGTGGTTGGCAGGGAGGCAGCCGTGGCTTAAGAGGGGCAGGAAGAAGGTCCCCATGAGACTTTCTCGTGCTGGCGTACTTATCCTGACCTGCTAGACTGTAGTCCTCCTCCTCCTCCTCCTCCTCATTGTACGCAACAAACTTGGCAGTGAACAGCGAGTCAGGGGAGAGGACCTGGGTTTTGAGGTAGGAGGCATTTCGCTGAGGCGGGGGAGGAGGGGCGTTGGATGCGGGGGACGGGGACGGGGGCTCGTAGTCCCGGGGAAGTGGAGGGCGGCACAGACCGGGCGCCTCGGGCTCCAGCAACCTGCGTGCCGCCTCGTCGTGCTGTCTGCGCCTCTCGGCTTCCAAGCGACTGTAATACCCTTCTTCCTGTCGCCTCTGCAGGCGGGAATAGACAAGAGTGCAAAGGTCAGAGGTCAGAAGGGAAAAGACAACCCACTGGGCCTTCACAGGGAACAGTCCTCATCACTACACTGGCAAGTCCATGGATGTTAAAATTTAAGCATCACAATACTATAACAGAAGCAGGTCAACCCAGAGTCTTCTCTTAATACTTAAAAATGCATTCATACTATTCTGGATTGACAGAAAATTGCTCAAAAGCAGGGAATAAACTACCACCCAGGCTCCTGGAGTCCCAGTCACTGCTCCCTTTTGGTTATCCCACTAGACTTCATTCTATTCCTTACTTCCTCCTAGTTCCTGCAAACTCCTTCTTTCTCTGTCATCCTCCTTTTCTGTGTTTGGTAGGATATTAACTTACCTGTTACTGCTGTGATTAAAGACAACACAAAACTAAAAGTGGACTATAACTGGCTTTCTATGGCCGGCACTTTCAGAAGGGCGAACTTACATACTTTGTCATTGAGCCCCAGAGATTTCAGAAGAGCAGTCCTTCCTGGACAAGAAGATGTGGTTAAACCACCCAGTTCATTTCCAGTTATTAGGAGGGAAATTAATAGAAAACCATAAAGGGTAAAAAAAAAAAAAAAAAAAAAGCACTCATTTTCCCAAAGCAACAATCTAACAAATATGCTTCCATAGTTCTTAATTTATATTTCAAATCTTAAAAACTCCCTGACAGGCAAAAAATTAGAGAGCCAGGCATTAACAGCAATAGCAACAAGATATTCAAATATATTTTGACACAAAATGTACATTTTTTTCTGACATACATCTGCACATACTACAGTTGACAGCAATTAAATTCTTTTAACATTAAAAAGGTAACAGCACAGTTTTGTTAAAGATTGACAAAAGTTTTAGAGCACAAGAAAAAAGTAAGTAAGAAGGGGGATGAAAGATCAAACACAAAAGTCTACCTTGAGTAAATGTTTAGTGCTACTGTATGGCATACAATGAATTTTAAACTCAGTCAACCAGAGAACTAACTTTAGGGACCTTGCTGGCATCAGGTTAAAAGTTGTTAGTGTCTCTTTTAATTTTTATAGCTGTTTTCTCCCCACTCCCTCTAAAGTCTCTCTCTCTCTCTCTCTCTCTCTCTCTCTCTCTCACACACACACACACACACACACACACACACACACACACACACACACCACATAAACAATAAATACGCAATGTCACTGCTTCACCTTCTGATGGAGAAAACTCTAAGAATAAATGCCAGCTCTAATCATTACCCTGAACTCAATTTCTCCTTGTATCTTCTTATACAATGTTTAGAAATCCTGAAAGAAAGACTTTTAAATCTTCTTGTCCACACAAAGTAAGTGTTCCCATGGGGTAGAGAATCAAACCAGAATGGCTTCTGTTGCTTTTAAATGGAACTATCAGGAATCTTATGAAGAACAGTTGCTTGGAAACATTTTAGGGAGAAATAAGAACACCCTCTCTTAGTTACACCAAGAGCAGATACAATTACAAGATGACTTTATTCTACCCAACAAATGAATGGCACATTTTTCTATAACAAAGCAAACCCATCAACTTTGGACATTCGGTATAAAAAAATAGGTTATTCAGCTTCTTTTTACAGTGACCACTCTATTATAGAAGCAGTTACTAAAACACACGTGTATTTGACATAATCATAAGTTTTGAGAACACATATTGGAAAAATTAAACAACCTAAGAGTTTCTCAGCAAAGAAAACACAGCCTGGCCCCTGACTCCACACACTGCTCTGACGTGACAACCCAGCTATCCCTGACCCCAGGTTCAGCGAGGCCAGGCCTGGACCTGACTATGGCCACAAGCACCATGGAAGGCCCAGGACACCAGGCTGACACTGAGCTGAAAAAGCATCCCTCCAATTGGCCAGAGAAGGCTTTCACGGAAAAGCAAAGCAACAGACACCATGAACACTTAGAATACAAGGGGCTCAAAACTTTGGAAATCTGATTTCCTTAGAAAGATAATCAATTTTGACTTACCATTACACAAGTGAGACTTATGGGATAACCTAATCCTGAAAGCTGAAACTCTGAGAATACCTCCTAGCTGTTCAGAAACAACAGATAATATGACCAAACACTTTCAGGAGGGCAGAGGTCTATGGAACACAAAAATCACTAATTTCAACACAGGAATGTACCCTTACATTATTCACTCTACTTTCATTTAAATGAGTTACATTAGGTCTATCAGTCTTACTTATACATTGTTCTGTTGGGGGAGAAATTATATTAATGTAGGTCACTGGACTATCAAGGAAGGAATTAATAAAAACTAGACTTTTCCCCATCAGCAGTTGTAACACTCAAAGCTTCCACCTTCATAGAAGGGAAGTAACAGAGAGAACAGCTTCTCTCAGACCACAGACAGCAACGTGCAATTTCCTTGGGACGACACAGAACCACTCCCCCCAACCAACAGTGACCTCAATGGCTACAGCCTCTTTAACCCAGAGGGCCTCAGTTAGGAACACACAAGACCAAGTGACCCAGAGAATAACATCTCCAAGTTCCCGTTTCTCAAAATGCCAGGATTAGCTGTCATTTAAAATTCAGTTAAAAGGATTATTGGAATTAAAAAAACACACATCAAAATAAACACCTCAGAATATTTACAGGATAACATACTAAATTTTTCTTGTGTAACAATTCTTATAGGCCATATGCCCTCTTTATCATCAACCAAAATTGAGTAATTTTAGTAAGTAATCTATTTCAAGTGTTTAATGTTAGCAGACTGTCTTACTATGTTCCTATTGCCTCCCATGGTTAAACTCAATTTAAACAATAACTGAACAAATATCACCTTCACAATAACAAGCTGGACAGTGTCCAGTAAAGATCAAAGCCTGGAGTAAACAGACCCTTTGCAAAGAGGCTCCTGCTATACAGACCTAGGAGCTCGGAAGTCTGAGGGAGACAAAACTAGAAAGTAAGGGGGTCTGGAGACAGTCCAGAAGAGAGGTAGGTGGGCCAGATAGGGCTGAAGGTTTTGGTCCAAGAACAAAAGCTGGGGGATCCAGGCCCTGCTCTGTCTTCTGCATCTCAAGACACATGTAACTTCTAGCCCCCCTTGCCCCAGCCACTCATTTGTGTTCAGGCTAATCTGGTAAAATGCTAGCTGCCCTTAGAGGACCATAACCTTTTCTTCAGCATCTCGTTTCACTCGTTCCTCCTCTTGCCGCCGCCGCTCCTCCTCCTGCCTCACCCGGTCTTCCGCTTCCCGCTTGCGCATCTCTTCCAACTGCTGCTGCCGCCTTCGCTCCTCGTCCTGCAACTAACAACAAAAGTCACGTTAGTGTTCATTCGAGAAACACCACTAGCACAATATGTAAAATGCACACATTAAGACAAGCAGACACAGATATACACACACACACACACACACACGCACGCACACAGAAAGTTAAGTACAAACTACCAGGTTAAAACCACTGTTGGAAGATGATAAAACTTACACATTTTTTAGCTCTATAATTTTTAACTAAGTTACCTAAAAATGTCTCCACAATCCCAGAGTTATTCCTCCATTAATCATGGCTCAAAGAGGGAATTTCTCTCATATATTCATGCATGAAACAAGTATGATTCTTTTATTAGAGTAAATTTAGGTTAACCCACTCATGTAAACTAACAAACTTAACAAACAGACCCCACTTTAGGAAACTATGAAATATAAGTAAATGACTTCTTCCTTGTCTCTTTCTCTTTTCCATTTTCACTATGAATGTCAGTTTTTTTTTTTTTTTTTATTGAGTTGGAGTCTCACTCTGTCATCCAGGCTAGAGTGCAGTGGCAAGCTCACAGTCACCACAGCCTCGACCTGCTGGGCTCAGGCAATCCTTCTGCCTCGGCCTTCCAAGTAGCTGGAACCACAGGCACGAGCCATCATGCCCAATTAATTTTTTTATTTTTATTGTAGAGACATGGTCTTGCCAAGGTGTCCAGGCTTGTCTCGAACCCCTGAGCTCAGGCAATCCTCTTGCCTCCGCCTGCCAAAGTGCTTACAAAGGGATTAGAGGTGTGAGCCACCCACTCAGCTATGAATATCAGTTTAACAAGTCTGTTCTTATGGAACGTGGGAGGTTGACACTTGCCTCTCACCAGGTGGGGTCATGGGGCAGCACAAGACTCCAGTGGACATGCAACCGCCCACCTTCCTCCTCTGACCCTGGGCCATTGACTCCCCCCAGATCCCATTGAAGACTTAAGAATTCCTTCCCAGCTCAGAAATAGCCCCAGGCTATGCCATGGAGTCTGAACCCAAGTTGGGAAGGAGCCTCACACCAGCTCTCTTCCATTTGGACACCCCAGTGTCTGACTGGATGCCACCCTCTCAATACAGCCCATTCTGTTGGTCTGGTCTAAAACTCATTACCTGAGTGTTTTTCTACGTTTGTTGATTCAAGTTCTGCTTTTTTGAAACAACACAAACATTTAATACCTTTTCTTTATCACTTTACATACTTAAGGATATCTTCAAATACCTAAGTCTCCCTCTTTTTTATTTTATTTTTAGCTCTTTTATCCTTCTGATCACATTTCTATGCACTATTGGTTGGAAATGTCTTTTCTATAAAGGAATCCTAGATTAACAACCAGTGCAGCACAGGGTCAGACTTTCCCTGCCATCTTGATATGCAGCTGTTTCTGTTGTTACAGCCTCAGATAATGGTAACTTAGAACACCATGCATTCTCCACTTCTTATCTGGTACAGACCTCAGCTATAGGAACACCCATACATGTATTATCATACATCATCAAGGAGTTGATTCACTATTTCTAAAATTAAAGTGGAACTCGAAGTCATCTACCTCAATCTCTAGGAATCCCTTACATAAAATTCCTACGTGTTTCAACATCTACAGTATTACCAGTTTGCCAATAAATTGTTTATACCAAAAATATAAAATGATCACTTCTGGATTTGAATTGTTTGTATGTTTTTCTTTTTTAAATAAAACAAAAATCTAACAGCTTCATCTTCCTTGATTTCTGTGGAAAACACTCTATCTGACAGGAAAGAATAAATTAATCAGTGTTGTTACTCTTTTTCATGTCAGTAAACAATGATAAAATATCTTAGAAAAAACTAAAGTTGACAACTGGTTTTAGGGGTTTATAGCAGGAGCAAATGTTACTAAGAACCAAGAAAGAGACAGCAGTGCCCTGCCCCAGGAATGCAGAACTAGGCAGGGCTCCCATGAGCTCCCTGATGGAGAACAGCCAACAATGGGAATATTTAGCAAGAATTTTAGTCGTCAGTACAAATGGTGAGAAACAGCACCCAAATAAAATGGCAAAATAAAGCAGCAATTCATAATATTAGCTATTCTACAGAAAAGTAATTTCAGATAGAATGTAAAATTGCACTAATACAACAGGGGTTTTCCCTTATCCAACAAAACACAAATTAATTTATGTCAATGCTGTTTAGCCCTAATTAAAAACAAATTCTGAGCAATAAAATATTATACAATGATATAGCCAATTAGGTTCTTTAATTAGATAAGAGTATAATTTTAAGAAATCAGAACTACTATTCTTGTAATTATCAGTACAAATGCTATCTTACAAATAAAACAGGCATTTTCTTCTTAAAAACCTTTACTCTCTATATCTGGATGTGAAAAACAAGCAGCCTTCTTGTGTTCAGCGTATGGTTATTATTTCTAAAGAAAGGCAAATTAACCAGTGCTATTAATGTCAATCAAGGCAGTTTCCTTCCCACTCTTTGGCTACTTTGTGAATTTTCATTTCCAAATCATAAATTATTTTGTTATTCAAAACTATGCTGCTTTATTCCCACTCACAAAGCATTATTGGGAAAACTGATAATCTCTTAATTTACTCAAAATGACAGCTTGAAACAGTTCACTGAGCTGTATGGTGGTTACTTACATCCAATAACAGCGGAAGAATATTTTAAGTTATAAACTTAATTGCTCTATAATCCAGTGGCAAACTTTCTGTTATATTGACACTTTGATTAAAAGAATGGAAAGTTACATTCTACCAAAGTGGTCTTGTAGAAAGTGATATTTGAGAGGCAATCAGAATAGATTAAAAAATAACTATTACCTACTGAGTCAAGACAATCCAGACTAACCATTATTCTAAACCAAGTACTATGCTGGGATTTCATAACCAAGATGCAGGCTTGAACAAGACTCTGCTGCACTGGGCGTCCACATTCCCCAAAACAGGTATTTTCAGGTTTTTTATTTTTTTAAAGTATGTTGAGATTTGTGTTTGTAATTGCATACTACAAAAATACATTAACCTATATCTGAACATAAAACAGGGTCATAATATCTTTACTTGTTGACATTTTCACTGAAAATACAATTTAGTCTATTGAAGTCCTTAAAAGTCTTTTTCTTCACAGACATTTCTGCTTATGGTCCTCCCATTAAAATGTTCACCCTAAAAAAACTTTAAGGTCAAAAACTCCTGATTAGATCACTGATTCCTACAGGACCCTGGTACACCAAGATGGTTTCAGAGCCCAGCTCTGTACTTACTAGTGGCTTATCCGAGCAAAAGTCTCTCTTGGTCTCAAAGACCAATTTCCTCAAAGTCCTCTCTCACAATGATAGCGAACATTAATAATACAGGAAAAACCATCCACTACAGTAACTGACTTGCAATCAATGACAGCTCCCTTCTCTTACGACAATTTCATCAGAAGTTGTAAGATCTAGAGCTTTACTGCTGAAATGCTCTAGTGACAGAGACTAAGCAGAGTAATCTCCTAGTAGGACAGTATGGCTGAAAGTGGTCTACAAAACATACACTTGAATTCTTTCAGGGCAACTGTTTTATCTTACACCATCATACACACTTTGTATTCTACTCCATAATGTTCACATGTTGGTTTTAATATGAAAATACTTCTTCTCCCAACTGCTGGAATAAAGTTGACCCTGAAGATGCACTGTGACTACACTAGGGCTTTGATATTCTTGGCAGAGCCAATTTTCATTCCAGAGGGACTTCAATTTGAATAAACAAAATACAGTCTGCCTTCCTACAGATAAGTTTTTCTGAGGGAGCAATTCTCAAATTAGGCTTCCTACTAATTCTTGCTTGACACTGTTACAAGGTTTTTAGTTCAAACTGAGATCCCCAAGAGGAGTATGCCCAATTTCTACAGTCCTACATGAAGACCAGAAAGGAAAGTGGCAGATGAGGGAAGACCTATCTTGGGGTTTCACGTGAGGAAAATAGCAGAGCCACTGAAATCTTTAAAAGTTATTTTGCTGGCATTACCCCAATTGGGAGGAGTTTTTCCTGTGAGTTCTCATGTTATCTGAGTCAGCAGATGGCCCATTAAGATGTGGTAACAAGACAAAGTTTAGGCTAGCCTATGAAAGGAGCATTTTTGTATCACAGAAAGAACATTTAATTTGAACTCAGGAAACTCTGGCTAGAACCTTCACTCTCACTTGACCTACATGATACAAGTTGAGTATCCCTTATCTAAAATGCTTGAGACCAAAAGTGTTTCAGATTTTGGATTTTTCTGAATCTTGGAATATCTGCATATACGTAGCTTGGGGATGGAAATCGAGTCTGAAATTCATTTATATTTCAATAAGCCATATATAGAGACTGAAGGTCCATTTATATAAAATTTTAAATGATTTTGTGCATGAAACAAAGTTTCCAATGCAGCCCGTCACATGAGGCAGATATGGAACTGTCCACTTGTGGCCTCATGTTAGTGCTCAGAAAGTTGAGGATTTTGGATTCTGGATTTTCACCTGTCCCGGATTCTGGATTTTTTCTTGTACTGGGTTGAGTTTCTACCCGCTGGAAACCTGACTCGCAAGGATCTGCTAACACTGGGTAAATCTTTCACATACTTGGTTTGGTCCTTTGGCTCTGCCATGAAATAGGTCTGTCATGAGGAAATGAAAGCAGTATATAATTATTTGGCAACGTGGAGCAATGAAGGTACAATCACAGACCTTGTCATTAGGTGCAAGGACTACCTACTGCCCTTGAGATTTCATCTAGGTGAAGCTGTGGCCATGGTTGACAACACCCCCGGCCCATCCCCCGCCAGTCCAAACTGAATGGCTATGATAGTTAGAAACAGCTGTCAAGTAGAATCGAGCACTGTGCTGGAGGAAAACATGTCCAGATGGATTTCAGATCTCCTGGAGATGGATTTCCAATGGCATATAAGGAAAAAGCCCTAAGAACACAAGAGGGTTTCATTGTGACTTGGCACTAACAGGGTTCTCTCCAGCAAGGTGTACTCCGATTTG